AGATGTTTGTCACCAAACCGTTCCGCTTTTCCGCGTAAATTGTGCTCCATGTAATATAAGGAGAAATAAAGTTGCGGAACAAGCGCATCAAAATCTATTGTCACAAGTTGTTTGACCTAACTGCCGTTACATTAAGACATATTCAAACACGTTCGGACCCCATATTTTTTTGGAATTCATACCTTGGATAAAAAGACAATAGAGAAAAGTTTTGGGCCTTCCGCTTTTCTGCTTTTTAAACGTACGGGAAGAAATGATTCAATTCGTGGAACGCGGAAATCTAGTAAGATTTTGTCTTCCGCATTTCCGTGTTTCATGTAATGGCACACTGACAGCAGATTGATGGCAGAAACGCAGCAGATCCTGCTGTGCGTAGTCTGACGGCAGAAATATCTAGACAATACAAAATATTTATAAAATTTATTTGATTATTTTATAAATACCAAAATATTTCTGTGATCTTAGATATATATAAATATATATATATATATATATATATATATATATATATATAGATCATAAATATTATACAAATATTTATTAAAATATATAACGTTTATATACACTTTTTTCTCTTTTCCTAAATTTTTTAAAAAATTTTCACTTTATTGTTTCACGCGCTACTTAATTCAAGTTAAATTGTACTTCGAAAATTTGCTTACCATTGCTGAGATTCTCGAACCTGAGACCTCTGGTTTTTGAGTTGTTTACCTTATCTACTGCACCACTGTCACTTTGACTGAGAGACGCTTTCTTGAAGCACTAAAGACGAAGATGAGCATAAAAATGACAGGATCTGCTACATTTCTGCCGCCAGACTGCACACGGCAGGATCTGCTTCGATTCTGTCGCCAATCTGCCGTCAGGTTGCTAAGTAGGTTCTGTTTAAATTCTGCTATCAAACCTGTTTAACAGATCTTGTCTAAATACTGCTGGTATTCTGTCGAAATTATTTTATACTACAGAGTCCGTAATAATTCTAACGCCATTCTGCCTACAAAACCTGCAACAAACGTTTGACAAAATCCGTTTCCAGCAGACTTGGCTATTAGGATATGTAATATTTAATTGATATTATATTATATTAGTTGAGACTCAGTCAGTAGCTCAGTTGTGCAAGTGCACAATTGAATTGCATAAAATATTCCGTTAAAATAAACATATTCACTAGATTCCACAAAAAGTGGGTAAATGGAATAATAATTAATATTACTCATTTATTGTATGTACTAATAATCTTTGATGACAATTGTGTTGATTACTGTGGTATAAGTATTATATTAATAAACTATACAAGAGAATGTGAAACACATTCTTCAATTTATATAGGACTCTTGTCGAAACCATTTACATAGAATTGATGGCTCTTTACTTTGTATAAAGCATCTACATCTTTTTCATCAGGAAGCATTCTGGGTCTAGACATAGTAACTTTCCACCCACCCTTTCTTGTCCAATCCTGAAAGTATAAAATAATATATACAAAGTTACTGTGTAATTATATCAAATATATCATTTGGTTCATTGAATATAAACTTTTGTTACATCTAACATACCATTTTATGATACTTTAGATGATACCACATCAAATAAATTCCACAGATACCCATTGCTGACTTGCTTATAAGATGTCGTGTATAAAAGGCGTATGATTTACCCTATAAGTAAAGAGTAATTATTTGTGTACTGTAGGAGCATAGCGTTTACTTGAATCTCTGTACCATAATTGGTTGCAACATATTTTCAAACTTGTCCATTGGCCACTTGTAAAATCTCCTGATTGGATTATACATTTCTTTGTAATAATGCTTTGGCATCACTGGTTCTTCAGGAGCTAACTCCTGAGCCTGTAACCATTTCTTCCTCCATGCTCGTTCCTCATCTGTCATTCCTATCAGACGTTCTCTTTCTCTCTCCATACGCCGCGTTATGGACATGGGTCTGTCCCCATCAGTGGCCGCATTCACCTTGATATCCGGTACCCTAAAATAATGAATCAATTAGTAATTGTTGTTATTATGGCTAACTGCCAATATATATTAGCTTAATATTATATCACATAGAATTTAGCTATATTCAACTTTGTCCTAAGTAATAAAGGAGAATTTATATAAAATATGTAATAATATGAATGTTATAGTGTTTGCCAACTTTTTTTTCTGCAAAATTTTGTTTAGTTTCATGTCAAAAGATGTCTAACGAAATCTGCTACATGTTTTTTGCTGTCATATATTATAATTTGTCTTAAAATTTATATATTATAAAACATTAGGTATACATAATGAATATCATACTTCGACATGGTTTTGCTGGTGATTATAAGATATGTTGAGAGAAATCCAAAATTTCCAGACGCTACTTGTTTATACGTGAGGTTATGTGTGGTTATTACATCACACATTCGTATCTTCGTACCAACTCGTACTGTATACAGATTGCAGGAAGTTACATCTTGCGCCATCTCTCGTGGAACACCATCTTGAAATCGGCGCAAAAAATTTGACCTAATTCGAAGAGGCGGAATATATATAAATAACACGTAATATTTTACAATACTTATATATACATATATTAGTATTTCTTGTAAAATATCATTGTGACATATAAATAATATGGAATATATAAACTCAGTCGCAGTAACACGATGCTGCTCGTTTCAATTTCAATTATAATCCAAATTAAAATGAATTTGTGTAAACACTATATATTGTTATACATATTTTTTTGCCAGTCTTTGAATATATTTAATTTCAATTATAATCCAAATTAAAATGAATTTGTGTAAACACTATATATTGTTATACATATTTTTTTGCCAGTCTTTGAATATATTTAATTTCAATTATAATCCAAATTAAAATGAATTTGTGTAAACACTATATATTGTTATACATATTTTTTTGCCAGTCTTTGAATATATTTAATTTCAATTATAATCCAAATTAAAATGAATTTGTGTAAACACTATATATTGTTATACATTTTTTTGCTAGTCTTCGAATATATTTTAAAAGAAAAATACGTGTGCAAACATATTAGGAACGAAAATATTGACTTGGATTATATCGCAATGAACAAATTAAATATAAGTGAATAACAATAGAATATAACTATTAAAGCAGAATGTAAAAAAAAAAAATATATATATATAAGGCAAAATATTTTGTTATACATGTTGGGAACGATGGGGAATGAAAACTACAATGTACTTGTGATCTTGTAGGTATATCATTTATTTATTTATTTAATCGATTTTCTTTCGCAGTATACTTTTCTCATTTATATACTTCATCTCTCGTAAATCAATTACAAGTATCGTCATCTATGATCTAAGGGTATAGGTAAGTTACAGGCTCTTTTTTTTCACGGTATTGACTCTATATACTATCCAGATGACTAAAATCTGTATCTACAAATATATTATCTCATATGTGTATACAGGGTGTCTCGCGATCGCCCTTTCTCCCAGTGACAATCGTGGGAGCGACTGAGAACTATGTTAAAAACGAGTCAAGAACGCAAGTTACACAACGGATTAACGCGGACAACGACCGATTTCCCTTTTGTTACAATGCCGCGCGAGATAATCGTGCTTTCGACACTATTCGGCTACAATCGGAGAAGCTTTTGAAAATCGCGTTCGTCTCTCGAACGACAGGAATCGCCTACTGCTCGTCGTCCGGACGCGACTCTTCAGATCGTGCAGTATCTATTGTCAAGAGAAAGCACAGACACCTTGCACACATATAATATATATAGGGTGGAGATCGGAGAAGGCGGGACTTTCGTCAGGGATTCATCGGCGAATTTGATTTTCCCTCAGCGTAGATTTCAATCGAGCTCTTAAGTACATGCTTATGTTGAATAGGACGTAGTAAGCTTTCCAGACCAACTGAACGCGAAGATACAAGCAACAAAATCTCACTCTCTCAATTTAAAGTACATGTAAAAAAAAGAAGAAAACTTGTGACACATCGAGATACTTTAGCATCGCGGTTGAAACGACAACGACGACGACTTCTGGATGCGAATCTTGGGAAAGGATCGAATTCGCACGATGCGTCCCCGCCCTTGTCGACTCCCGTTCTCGCCGGATCCCTGCTCTGTATGTATATTTAATAACATCTTTCATTATTTCTCTATATCTCAATATTTCCTCTTTTTCCTTCCCTTTCCGCGTGGGAATCAATAAATATATAATTCTTTATTCGAGTCCCCGGGGTAAAGAAGAAACCGCCGCAGTTTCCGGAGCGAAATTAGCTCGCTCGCTCGTTTTGCTCTTCTCCCTTCGTAGAAGCTTTGGTAAAAGGATTTAATCGGTTATACGATACGTTAAAAGTAGACTTCACTTGATTTGACACATACAATTGAGGTTTCGAGCAAGTTTGTCTGCTGCTTAGCTCGCATCTCACAGCCTAGAGGTGATTTAAATCCAGTGCGCGGGTCCCATTTTGAATGGAACGCGCCCGCAAAACGCCGCACTACATTACCCCGACAAATGCCAAGCCCGCAGATATTCTCTCTTTTTTCTTTTTTTTTCTTTCTTCCACGGCATTACACTCGCGCGACAGCCGAGCACGTCTGTCGCCTGAGATTTACACCTGAAATTGGCCAAACGCGCAGCGAACATGTGTTCTTCTCGAGAGGATCTGTGTGCTTTTCGTCTCTTTTTCATCCTTTTCTTCCCGACGACGGGAGATTACCCTGGGAGTATTTCGTTAAGATCATCTTTTGGTCGATCACGGAGAGAGACGAGAGTACACCGAGAAGGCTCCGAGAGCATTCGAAGAATAACAATCTTGACGATACCACGAGACAAACATATTCCAAGGGTGATCGCCGCGGATGGAAATATCCCGAGGACGAGAATATCCCCTCGCTGAGAAGAAAAGAATATCCTCTCCCTTCGTTTCGCTGCTCGGAACGGGTCTCGCGCGAAAGCGGACAAGTTTTCCCGGCCGCATTCTAGATATTCCTTCTCGACTGGCCGACGGAATAAAGCAGCCACGAAGCGTGGGTCGGACCCACACGACATAACGTCTGCAATCAGAACGTCTTAGAGACGTCTTTTGCGCGATCCATTGGACGCCGCAAACGTTTTAAAGCTCTTAAGAAGCCATGATTGGTTTATACGGCGCTTCAAAAAAAGTAAAGTATCCGCAGTGCCAAATAGATCGCATCCTTAGACACCTTATGTCTCGATCTTAGACGTTGGGCGCGATTCTGCCTTGAAACGTCGTGTATATCAATCATGGCTTTTCTTCAAGCGCTTTAATGAGAGCGCTTACGCAACGTTCAATGGAACGTACACGTTGTGTTTTGTGGGGGAGGTCCGGAACGATCGCCGCTGTCGCTCGTCATCCGAACACTCTTACTTTCTACTACATGGATGCGAGAACCATCCGGTTTATAGCCGTGACAACGTTGTGCGCATTTTCGTCCGCTCGCGGTGAGTTGCAGATCTCGCGCTCTGCTCTTCCACCGCAGTTTGTTTATTTATCTATTTATTTATTCTCTTCTTTTTTCTATCCCACCGCGTACAATCATTTTTGCGTGCCGAGGGAGGAATACTTGGAACGCGTTCGGGGCGCGCCGTTCAGTTTTTCTTCGCAAAGCGAGCGTAAACTGCGGGCATCGGATATGTCCCGCCGTTGCCGATATAACACGTATGAACCGAGTAGAATGAGAGCGGTGTGAGTCGTGTTTACTATCCAACTGAGGAGAACAGAGGATCGCGGAATGGTTACGCGCGCATTCTCCGTTCTCTCAAACTATTACCTCGCACCATTTTCATCCTCAACACGGCTGGATATATTCTCTCTATATTTTTTATATATATATATAATATATGTATAATATATTGTATATATATTATATAATATATATATACTATATAATATATATACACATATACATACATATATATATATGTATATATAGCACATACGTACATTTGTGTCCACATGGTCATTGTGCATGTAAAGTAAATATACATAGTAAAATATTAAAGCGACAGCAGAATATACTGCAATACTGTTCGGCCTATGAAAAGGATGCTGCTCGTCTCCGTATTCTTCTCTTTCATTCGCCCTCCCCATTATTCCCTTATTCATCGGCCAACGTATTTTCATGGCAAAGATCGCGGTCCTCTCTGTCCCTTTTTATTCTTCTTTTACCTATGTGTTTATGTACAACGTGTGCTAACGACTTACCCGGTAACAGTCCTCGCGTGCGCGCGCAATAAACTTTCTCATATATATCTCAACATGTCTCGTATATATAAACTATGCAGTGCCAATGTATCGAGTAAGATAAGTACACATAAAATATATGCCATCGGTAAGTAACGTAATAAAATTATACAAAGTACATGTCGCAAACATCGTGGACGAGAGGGGGAGAAAGAGAGAGGAAGAGGATAATAATTTGCGTGTACAAGAATCCCCCGCTTGCGTCAGAGCTTCCATGCGCTCTGACTTTGTTCCGGACACTTGCGATCGGTGAGATACGATACGTGTATATTGCTTGCGTATAACTTGTCCGTCGAGCTTACGCTCCCGACGACCGTCTCGTGGAGAGTGAATGGGGGGCAAAATCGAAACGTCCTGCGCGTCGTTACGACGTCTCAATACTTTCTTCGCGCTTGCTCGGGGCGCCAGATTTGCGCGATTCTCCGCGACCGGATTGAAAGGACAAAAGTGTGAAACGATTTAACGCGTAGATTATATATATGTCTGTGTATGTATATATATATATATATATATATATATATATATATATATATATATATATATATATATATATATATATATATATATATATAGGAATTTCCTCTCCCGCTCGAATATTCTTCTTCGTCTACGACTAAGCGAGCCGGTTCGCGTTCGCCTGTTCTTAATCCGATACACTTTCATATAACGATTAACGTTTTCGTACTCTTCTGCTTCTTTCATAATTTGCTGCTGCATTTGTCCTCCTCCTCTTCTTCTCCTTCTTCTGTTTGCTCTTTTGCTTCTTCTTTTCTAGCTACTGGTATTGCAGGACAGTGCGTGCACTTTACAATGGATAATGCGAATGTACATTTATGTGTACGAGAGGACACCCCGGAACTACCACGTTTTCACTTCCTTTCCGGATGACGTCGAGTTTTCCATTCGAGAAGATACCGTTCGCAATCGTAATTTGCACAATTGATTGTCACTTCATTTAAAAAAGTATCATAATCTAATATACGAGGGAATTCTCAACATCACAACTGTGTTCGCGACAGATTTTATCGTGGAACTACCGTCACGCCGTCCAATCGAATGTATATCGACTCGAATTTAAAATTTACCGGAAAACAAAAACTGTACATTTGTATATTCTCGACATGAAATATCCGATCTTTTTTGATTCGCGGCCGCTGCAGCAGTCGATTGAAATCTCCTGATCTCGGAATACAATACTTTCCGCACTCAATGTCCGCGCCGCTTTCTCGAGAGCGGAAAGCGCGACAGTCCCGACGCAGTCCTCCGTGTGTAATATATATATATATATATACACACGCGGTGCGTTTCCGCGTAATCCTTAGTACAATAGAACTTGTTCACGGACATCGATTAAGTAGTATGTCGATAAATATTACATCGAACGCTAACACCGCGGTTATCTCCTTCTCGATTCCCTCGTCGGAATTCTCATAGTTGACGCGGTAGGAGACACGAAGAAAAGAAAATTCGCGGCGAATGGCGTTAAATGGAGAATTCAACGTCGCGGCGATTAATCTAAACATCCAAGTTACACACTTTCGGCTAATTTAGAGACGAAAGTGGCTAAAGCGTGGGCGTAACCGTTCCGTCTTTGTATCGCAGCCGTATAGAATTGAACGTCCGTTTGGCGATCTGAAGACGGGAAGGTAATACCTTCGTCATTTTAGCGATATAAGAAAGTGGAGAAAATTAGATCAGCTTTGCCGCGTCTTTGTCGCCGGCGTCGGCTGTAATTTGACGTGCCAATAATCTAAACACACATCCATGTTCTCGCTATGGCGAATCGGAGGATCGGGAGAAGGATCACCGACGTGCATCTCGCGTTCGCGGATTAACTAGAGTATGTCTATATTGTATATATATATATATATAATATATATATATATATATATATATATATATATATATATATATATATATATATGTGTGTATGTATAAGATAATGCCTAGCTAAATGGAGCGCGGCCGGAAACGGGGCTACGCGCGGAACGTGACATGCACACGACATTTAATGCGATTAAAATTACACCGTTACTAGCTAAATGCTATTATCCTTCGATGAAATTGTAAGGACCGACGCGTCGTTTTGGCATTGAGTCTTTTGGGTGCGCTCCTCACGTCGCGATTCAAACACTTGGTGTTATCAATTAGCAAGTGGTAGTGGCATTTTGGACCTGTAGGCCTTAAAAGACGATACAAACGCGCGCGTGTGTGTACGTGTGTAACTCACGTCTGTGTACGTGCGCGCGCGCGTGTATATATAGTGTGTGTGTGTGTGTGTGTGTATGTGTGTAAAGATTTCCGCGCGCGAGGTTGGAAAAAAGAGCGGGGCCTCAGTCCCGGAGGAAATGCAATATAATACTCACGACGACATACTCGTTTCTCCCTATTATCAAATACACATACATAATCGATAATAAAAGTCGGCGCTATCCTAGGCTACTCTAGATTCACCTATCAAGCGGTAAAATTATAATACGTACGTACTACTTATTTCCGCCCTATTAACGACAATGCGTGTAGAAAAATGAGCCTCTCGCGTCTTTGGTTAAACGCGAAGCATTTAGAAAGTAGTCTGGCAGTGGTTTCGTAGATGCTTCGACCTTAGCCTCGGACCAAATTTTGATTCTCTTCTCTTTTCATTTCTTCCCCCTTCCCCTGCCCGCCTCCTTTGTTCACTTCGCCCTTTTTGTTCTTTTTTTTTGTTTCAACTTTTATTCTCTTCTTTCTCTCGCGTGCCGAACGTGTGATTTTTAGCTCTCGATTGCAAAGGATTGAATCGAAGTGACGTTTAGTTTTCTTTTATTCGGGACGTGTCGTTGAGCTACGTTTGTGTTCCGGCGATCTTCGAAGGGTGTTTAAACGATACCAGTCCAGCGAGCTCGGCTGAGCTTGTACAGAGTTGTCTGAGAGTTGATCTGAGCACAGTCCCCGCTGCCGTACGCGACGCCCTGCTGCTGCTCCGACGAGTCGTACCCGACGCACGTCAGACCCGCGCTCCTACGTTCTGAAATTCAATCTAAAGGGAACTTATCCTCCCGTGCGTCGCTTGTCTCTCATCGTCTGACGATCGTTCGTCGCAGGCCTACGCGGTAAATCGGCCTCGAAATGACGATGCCTCGTCCTTTGTGTTCGGCGCCGACGCCGAACGACCGTCGTCGTCGTCGTCATCATCACTATCGTCATTGTCACCGGCCTCCTAGTTCTGCTCTCCCTCTTCCCAGATGACTCAGAGCGCGCGGCGCAAATGACTGCGCAGACAATGGCACAAGAGCAGCGTGTTTCTTAGGGTGATGTCGTTTAGGTCACTGAGAAGTAAACTAGAGCTCTGCTTTTGCGAGGCGGCGGCATCAATTCCCGATCGCTTCACACTTCACGAGTAAATGGTGATCACCTCCCGTCCGCTGCCTCGCACCATCAGCACCCTCTCCAAGCCTTCGGTAAGTACTTCGAGGAATTCCATGTCTAGTGGTCGATAGTTAAGGAAGTTTGACGGCCTAACTTTGTCTTCTCTTTTCTCAAGCACACTTTTGTATATCACAGATCTACCGTTACTATTTAGTGCAAAAGTTTCTCGCACTTGCCGAAGAAAATTGAAGAGACAACTCTTCGAAGCATAATTTTTATGGAAATCAAATTCACGAGACCGACTCGTGTTTTTCTACAAAAATTCAACAAGGACTTTCTATTTCTAATATTTGAAACAGTGACTTCCTGCAAGTTAAAATTCAACAAAAAAGCTACAAATATTTTATACTTATCTGATAATATCGTTACTTCCGCGCAACAAATCCTTTCTATCATGTTACGTTTCTGCGACGATTAAAAGGATACAGTTAGACTCACGCTCCATCTTCGTATCCCGCGGCGGCCCGGGAAGATTTAGAATGACCAGTTGAGCGTCATGGCTCTTGTTGACGATTACCTCGTTTAACTTCACTGAGGTGTGCATACGCCTCACGTCACCCTCGTCGCTGTTACAGAGACGCTTGTTAAAGGATAATAGTACCTCGTAGAGATATCTATATTACGTAACGCACGCATCCGGACAGATAAGAGACAAAAATCACTTGGGGAGACCACTGCGGTAGATACTCACGGTGTGATTGTGGGTTTTTTAGCCTCTGGACTCTGGCTCTTGTTTTCCTGCGCGTTCTCCTTCTCCGTATTCTCTCTATTCTCTACCTTAGGTGAGCCGCCGATCAGCTTTGTCTCCTCGTCGTTGTTCTCCTTCACTTCGTCCTTTTCGTTGATCTCCTCGGCCTCCAGCTCCTTGTTGTTCAGCTCGGTCTCGTGCATCAGCTTCTCTTTCGTGTCGTCGGTGATGTTGATGTTCTGGCTGCCCGGCTCTTGGAATCTCACCTTCGTTGGCACTTTGGCGTCCACGTTGTGATGGTGGTCCACGATTGCCTGTACCTGTTACGGGCAATATGGGTCAGCGACTCATGCGACGGGCTCTCTATCCCGCACAGCGGGAGACAGTCAGTCGTAAGGCAACTAATTATCTAGCATCTCAAAAGCACTATAACCGCCAAGTAAATGCTATCTATGTAAGCGATCGGAAAGGAACGTGCCAATCAAGCTGTAACTGAGGGTCGCAGGAGTTGCCGAGGTCGCGATGGACAAGAGGAGAGAAGTGAACCGCCGTCGCGGGCGTTTTGCACAAGAATAAAAAAAAAACGAACAAAGAATAAAAGCAAATAAAGAATAAAATAATTAGTAAATCACAACTGTCGACCTATATGACTCTCATTGACTCGCGTATGTTTTACTAATTTATATCAGAGAGGCATAACTCATATTCTCACAAATAAAAAGAAAGGACAAGGTAAAAAAAAATCTGTCGAGCTGTCTCCGATCATAAGAAACTCGATTGTGAAAGAGAGAACTGTTGATTGATATACACGCGTCAAGGTATTTTAAGCAGCGAAAGAAAAAAAGAAAAGCGAGTCCGCAAATTGCAATCCGCGACAGATAGTTTCTTCCCTCCGCCTGACGTTATTATTCATCGTACGTATGATTGGCGAGGAGAAATGCGACTGTTATGAGAACTCGTGGGAGTGGCTAAAGTTGTCGGTGCGATGGAGCGATGATGGGGAGAGGCATACATGGGACTCCGGGGGTTATCTGACAAACCAGAGGTAATTTTTCCTCGGCGGGTACCTCGTTGAAGTCCACCAATGTCTGCACCTTATCCGCGACGAGCACGCAACAAACAGACACACACACCGATCAGTATCACCGTCACCATATCGTTATACATGTATAGCATAAGTACATGTGTCTACGTGATATGTACATAAGCTGATATTCTCCCCGTTGTATCGTATTTTCGACACTTACCACTCCTAACGACTGCTTTTTGTTTAGTTGCAACTCGCGCAGCATCTGGTTCCTCTGCTCCATGATCAGGGTACGTTCGTATGTGTACGCGGAGATGTCGGAGTTCATCTGCGAACAGAGCGAGAGGCAGTTAAGATTCGCTGAAATGAATTCGCTCGACATGTAATCGGGATGAAGAGTATCGAAAGCGCCTCGAAGAGTCCAAAGCTTTCTCGGGTGAATCGTGTACTTGATTTACCATAGGTGGATCGAATTACCATTTCGACAATCTCGACTTCTGCCTCGATTCTCAAGTCGTATAGGAACTTCTTCAAATCCTTCTTCATCTGTATCGAGTTGTCTTCCATCTGCGCGACCGTAAAGATCCTCATTTTGCAGTTCTTCCAAGTGCGATGCTGTTTCAGCAAAAACGGCAGTAACATTAGGAGACCGCCATCGTGCACTATCCACCAAACGTCAATGTTGCCGACCACCTTCTCAGTGGAGTCTGGGAAGAAGTTTATTCCTTTAGGCACCAACAACGCCATCTTGGCGGCCGCGACGCTTCTAACGGTCTGTAGGAAGACTCGCCAAGTTCTCTCCTGCTCGGATTGTCTCCAGCCGTACGGCCAACCCAAAATCACTGTATTCGGTTTCAGGCCTCCCAATCCCGTGGTCTGTACAAGCGAGCTCAGTCCGTCAATGACGTTCTTGGCCACGAGAACATCGACGAAACCCTTCACTTTCTCTTCCACCACAGTCTTCCTGAGACTTTGTTTAGCCGCTAGAGCCTCGCCAGAGTTCTGCGTGTAATCGCCAGCAATGCAGCTGACGCTGATGGTAAGACCCTTGCCGGCCTTGAGCTGACTGGCGAATGCGAAGAGCTTGCGATACTTGGGCACGAGATCCTCTGTGAGTTTGGAGAGAATCAGGATCTGCGGTCGCCAGTTCTTGGTGTGCGGCGGGCCCTCTTCGAGTCGCAGCAACGAGTAGCGGGCGGCGGAGAGCGCGAGACCGCGTATACCGTCACCCCATTCCTTCTCGGCGCCGCGGTACTCGATGTACTTGTAGATTAAACCGGCCATACCCATCGCCAACAATGCGTAATACCAGCTGGTCATGAACATGATAGCGATGCAGAGCGCCAGACCGAGGAACGACAAGCTCCAGTGGTAGTACTTGAAGCGTGGCCGCCAGTTGGGTGTGCGCAGCAACGTCTGCAAGGCGCACGCCAGGTTGACGAAGCCGTAGCACATGAGGAAAAACATAGACAGCAATGGTGCCAAGTAGTCCACGTTGCCGAGCAAGATGCCACATTGGCAGATCAGAACGGTGAGTATGAGGGCACGGGTGGGCTCGCCTCGGCTCGAGCTGGTGGCGAACGGCGTGAGGAACGGTATTATGCCGTCCTTGGCGATCGCCTGCAGCAACCGTGGCGCTCCTGTCAAGGACTGCAGTCCGGCGCCCAGGGTAGAGAGGAACGAACCGATCAGGATCACCCATTGATTCGGCCAGGCCATGTTTGCCACTACCAGCTTGCCGCCGATACTTTGGCCGAACTTGTCGCGTAACAGCAGGTTGTCTACAGTGCCGGCGAATAACAGTACGCTGGACAGGTAGACGGTTGAGGTCGTCAGGATCGCGCAGATTGTACCGATCGGAATGGACTTCTGAGCGTCGGCCAAGTCACCAGATCGATTCGAACCGGCCATGATACCTGCGGATGAATGTTGCTATCGGTATTACCGCGTATTATGTAGACACAAGTTACCGTGAACGTTAATCTTTTCATCTTCCGGTAGTCCCCTTTTCTTTTTATTGGGCTACTTTCGCGTAATGAGATCCACTTTGCTCACCAGTCACTGAGGGGAAGAATATGCCGATGAGGATGGTGAAGGTTGTGGTAAGGTCGACCTGAATCTGATTGTAGCTCGATCCCGACAGGACATCGATATCTTTCGGGTCGCTGCCGTAAGAGATCAATTGGCCCTCCTCTTGGAAACTACCCCATACGTTCTCTGCGTGTCGGATAAGAGAAAGAATATTTTCATTTCGCATCGTTCGCTCGATCTTTGCAGGTAGAAAGAGAGAGAGACGCGCGCGCCAGTAATTTCCTATAACGCGTACCTAGAAACACGCCGCTAGCCAAGCCGCGAATACCGTCGACGATGGTGATATTGTTCTCGGTGTAATACGGATCGCACTTCGTGTACGTGGTGCTGTTGCCGCAATAAATCTTGTGCAAGGCACCAGTCACGTTCTTATTGCAGTCGGTAAAGACGTTGATGTCCTTTAACAGTCTTCTACCAAGCACGCACAATCTGGAACACAAGTCTCCATTTCCTCAAGGAGGTTCGACCTTTTTTCTATTCCTTCTTCAATTTACCCTATTCGCCCGACTTTCACACACGGGGAGAAAGATTGATCGACTAAATGTGACAACTATACAACTAAATGAGTTTTGGTGAAACGAAATTTTCTGCTTCTTAAGAGTCGGATTCCTTTCAATTAAAAGGTGTTTTGGTACCGAAATGACGTTACCGTACTAGATGTGACTTGACATTACGATCAGCGACGTACTTTAGAGCTTCGTTGCCGTAGAAATTCACGAAGAGACCCACGTAAACGGCGATGATGGATAAAATGACGCAGGCCAATGCCACCGTGGCGAACTTGTTAACGAACTTTACGCCCACGAAGACAATGGTGCCCATTACCATCAGCAAGGCGGTGCCGTACACCCGAAAGTTGTTATACATAATGTTAGCGTCTTTAGTGAAGTCGCCGAATATGCTGAGCGACGGTGCCATGTAAGTCTAAAAGAAGAAAATATCAAATGAGAGACCTGTCCTCCGTGTTGAGCCGCAGAAAATTCCCCGCAGAAATTCCCGACGTACTAACCCAGGTAGCAAGATAACGTCTAAAGACATCATTAAGATGTCATTAAGACGTCATAGACGTCTGGGAATGTGACAATCACTTATCATTACACGGGAAAGATATGATACACGTAATCAGAAATATTTAATTGTGAATAGCATAGTTGCATCATTTTAGTTATCTTTGCGTGATTACGCAAATACGTATGGTTGATGTGACTCAGTTACTTTGATACATCAACTACATAAATGTAGTTGCGCGTGATCTAGTTGTGACAACCAGAAATCGATTGGGGTGACATTAACCATGGATATACTCTGGTTGAAGCAACCAGATGTCGTTATTGTTGCAACGCCGGTAACCCAGCAATTGCTCTGTGTGATTACAATGAAATGATAGCTCACGGATCGGTCGATCAGCGCGAGGCGATACTTACGAGAACGATCTCCACGGCACCGATGATGTACATTGCAGCGGCCAAGGTGGTACCGGTGTAAAACAGCATACCTACCGCGCCTCCGAATTCCGGGCCCAAGCTTCTCGATATCATGAAGTAGGAACCACCAGCTGGCACCACGCCGTTCGTGGCGATCGCGCTCATGCTGATCGCCGTCAACATCGTCTGCGCGCACAAAGAACAGAATCTGCAGCCCTTTCGCACGCCTCGAACTTAAACTCGTTAAAATTTGCTCGTCGAGACAATGTCTTTCATCTTTTAAGCTTCGAGAAACGTCAATTCGTGGCTTCTAGGGAATAAAACGTTGCACGTCTATAAGTTGTATTTGATATCTTTTCATAAGAAATAATATTTTAACAAATATCGTATTGAAAACATTATTGTTGCATACTCATTAATCGTACACTCTAAAATAAAAAATATATTTCCGCTATATATACTGAGCGGAAATCTCTGTGTGTAAATCCTGTTTTATTCCCTCAAGAGACCTCAAGATGATTCTTCGTAACCCAAAAGAAAAATCTAAACACAATATTCTTTAAGTTAGAAGAATTTAGTCTTTTATCTACAATATAAGGCTTATTCTCGATAGAGAATAGAACTTCTTCTAGTAAGAGAACATTCTACTTCAAGTGAACATACACTTTTTGACTCAAAAGAAAAGAACTTGGAATGAGATATCTTGGAATGAGATTTCCTATTAATAATTCACTTCATTAGAAGAGGAAATACTTTTTTGCTGAAAGTTTCCGGATATTATGGGATATCAATTCACAGGAAATATCAATTTCAATTCCGCGTATTTTTAGATCTCTGCGTGCATTTTTCATATTTATGTCGGTTGCAACACGCGCATTGTAATCTCTGTCTAGTCAGACAATGCAAATACTCACGACGCAACAACAGCAGAGTACGATGAAGAAACCCTGAACGGCGCCGGCGGTGCCGACTACCCATGTCAACCGGATAAAGAGGATCACACCAAAGATGTTCTGGATACACGGCAAGTAGACACCTATGAGAGTGCCCATTCGAGCTCCACCTCCCGCTGCCGGAGCCGGTTTACTATCCGGGTCGGTCGCAGCAGGGATGGTGTTGCTGTAATTAGCCAGGCTGTTGAGCAACGTCGAGATCCGAGGCCGATCCTCCATCTCCTCCTGCGAGGATTTATATCCGATTTCATCTCAATCGATTCGATCATATCCTAAGCGTGTTTATGTGTGTGTATGTATGTGTGTTAATCAACGGACAGTTTCGTATAGTAAGCAACGTTGCTCCCGTGATATCTTAATATACAAATATCGATCCTGGAGAGTAATTCTTGTATTAAGAAGGCTCTGTTGATATCCAATCAAATGAATATATATCTTTTCGTTTCGTACGTGCTATTTATACTTAGAAACTTGCACATCTATCATAAAAAAGTGTACCATGTTTTTCAACAAATTTGCTACATTTCGCAGCAAGATAAGCTCTGAGAATATATCCCCATACTACAGAAAAATACGATAAAAATGAAAAGAATTTCTATGAAAAAAAAAACTACAATAACTTCTCTGGGTGCAAGTAACTCGCGCGGAAATTCCAGACAACTAACACGACGGATACCTTGTCCGACCAGTCGTCGACCTTCATCACTAGCACTTGCCTCACGTCAGTCTTAGCGACGGAGATTGCTGGTCCTAATAATTTCCCCCATGCACGGTGCCTTATTACGCCGGGAGGGACGTGTCCTGACCTCATTTGCAATTTTATTGACAAACTTTCGTGGAAAAGTGTCGCGCGTAACTTGGCCGGGGACGCTTTATGGAAATTGTTGGGCTCTTTGTCAGACAAGTTCTCGGCGCAACCTCGTTACAAAGATATTACCGCGCTGTCTAATTTCGCGCGTAGACTACTCCTCAGCCTGTCCACGAAAACAACGTATACGTGCTGCTTTCGTTGGACTTACGACATATACGGATTTATTTGCATTCGCAGGTGGTCGTAAAAGGTGCCGAGAAAACGTGAGCCGAAGATCCGATCCGTCGATCCACCGGCGATTTCTTCCAGGAAATTGGAACGCGCCTCTCACCTCGTTCTATCTTCTAATCTTTCACGTCTTCCTAATTTGTTTGGTTTCTTTTATCTTCGCGCACTTCGAAATATCCCATTGTCATTCTCTCGAGTAATTAATAGTCATAGGAATATCCCGAAATGTGATGCCGATTGACCGATTGACAATTTTTAACCCTACACGGAAAAAATGGTATAGTTGATCCATAACAGAATATTGGCATGACCAGATTTATGTGTTTGGACCAATTATACTATTTTTTCCGTGTTAGTAAGTATTAGATATGTAATAAATTCTATAAAAAATGCGATACAAAAAGTATTTAATTATAATAATTTTGTAGTAAAAAGTCAAACGCGTACATAACATTTTAAAGCAAATATATAGTAATTTTAGTAATGGTCCTGTGTGTATGATTAAAAAAATTACGAAGATTTCGTTGTAATTTTTACTACTACACGGCGAAAAATAATTTGCTGGCCCAGCAAATTTTCTGCTTGTCTAGCAAAATCTTTTTGTTATATAAATAGCAAAAAGATTTGCTAAAAGTACTAATCACTATTTGTTGGATATAATTTGCTGAATCTACAAATTATCTTGCTATAAGAACCATGATGGATTTATATAAGCAGTTGCAATTTTGTTCCATTTTGCAGCAGTTGCATTATTTGCAGATAGCAAATAAATTTGCTAAGGATACATGATTTTGCATCAATAGCAAATTAACGTGATTCTTAGGACAAATACACTCAACAAATTTTTTCTATCCTGGCAACGAAACTACTTCTGCTCTGATTACGAATAATTTATAAAATTAGTTACGTCAACTAAATTTTTTTTATGTCACTACGAATATGCAGTAGCAACGACGAGTTTGCTAAAAGAGCAAGATTATTTTTCTCCGTGCGTGCGTCCGCATGCAAGTGTGAGGTCGAGAGGATCCTAGGGAATCCTAGTCAATAAATGTCAAGGCATTTGTGCAATTTGCGATTCTACTTGCGGTGTTACAGCGACCAGTGCGCTACGTGCGCGTCGGGATCAGTTAGTTAGACTCGAGTCGCGTTCGAACGAGAAATACGACAACGGCGAATTAAAGTCGCCGTCGTCGCGCGCGGGGCGAATTATCGAATCCGATAATTCGACGGCGGAGCGCGGCACAATACTCGCGAGATTCGTGGCTCGATAATGGCTCGCAGTTTTGAACGGAGTCGGGAACGGCAGATAAGGAAACTGGGCCGGAGCGGAAGTTCTCGCGGATACTCTCTCTCTCTCTCTTGCACGGCCAGAGAAAATGGTGGAGTCCTTCGTTAAAACGCCAAGAAGGAACGGGGACAAGAGAGCGGCGGAGTTCAGCCGCCGGCTCAGAGACCGCTTCGTTCCGAAGGTAAAGGTAAGAGTGGAGAATTCTTAGCTCACTACTATCGTCTTTCTGCAAGTTTTATGATTCGCGCGGAATGACTCCGTCTATTTTACGGCTAGACCTCCCTTCATCCTCCTCCTCTTTAGCCCTCTCTCTCACGTTTTCCCGCGCACCTATCAAACCTACGACCTCGCGGGTGTATTTTGCAGCGAGTCCGATTTTTTTTTTTACAAAACTTCGCGCGTGATAATTTCCACTTTTTCTTTTTCCTCGCCCCGCGACTTGTAATTCTTAGTTTGTGATTGTCGTGGATTGCGATTCTCAGTTTCCAAGTAGTCTCAGCAGTTTGCTCGAACTTCTCGTCTACTTACACTGTAGAGATACAGGTTGGTCTCATATCCCGACTTCTTCTCGGAATTGGTACCGCCGACGATAGGTTCGCCATCTCCGCCGGCGCCGCCTCCATCGCCTGAAAGCACGAAAAAGAAAACCATGTAATTAATTGCCTGGCATTTTGTCTGAGTACGAAGTTAATAGAACGCGAGAGAAATTATAACGATCCTTCGGGGAAGAAAGTCCGGCCTGAAGTTTCCCTTGTGACGTTCCCCCCTCTGGAAACTTCACGTTCCTTTTTGCGAAACGCGAGAAGATTTAATTGTCTATCTACTGATAATAGGTATACCTTCGTTCAACTCCTGAAACTTCTTCGTTTTTACGGATTTTACGGACAATTTCGACGACGCGTCGACAGGTGTGTATCTTCGCGATTAACGCGATTAATGCGGAAACTTTCGTTCGTGAACATTTCGAATAATCAATTAGCACTCGGCAAAACTTGAGTGTCTCTCGGCGAAGCTCGCCGCGAGTAAAAGAAAAGAAAAGCGTGCATCGTCGCGGAAAATGTCCGCAACGCCGGTCGACCTAATTAAGAGGGGCCAAGACACTTGACGCTTTCGAGATATCTCGAGACAGTCGTAATATTTACGACCAGCCGCCGAGTGGTCGCTTATATGACACTACGGCTACCTTTACGATCGTTGAGTATTAATTGCTAAAGGAACTCTATTCGCCTGCGAAATGATATACAAATACACTTGGTTGGAGCATTTATTTTTGCTGCAACGAACGTAATGGAAACTTATCGGAGTTTTGAACAAAAAAGTACGATTATTTCTCGATATTGGCAATACGACGATTTTTTTGTTAAATAAAATGCCGTATAATAGGAGTGAAGCTTTTCAATAATAATATTATTGAAACTAATACACAAATTATTAAAACAAAGTATAACACATTATTAATTTTAGTAATGATTGATATTAAATCAAGTGAGTTTACTCCAATAACGGCGCTGTTGACCAATTTTATCGACACAGCAGCATTTTCTTTTTCGTGTGCGGCCGTCTGATCGATTCGGGGGAAGCCAAATGACAGAGACGATGTTTGCGCGTATATCTCGCGTTATTCAGTCATCACGACGTCCCGTTTTAATTTGCTACTTTTCTGTATTCGCTTTGCCATCGCACATTTCATACGCCACAGAAGAGACTGGAGTGGGTGATTGGCGGGCGGCTAACGACGTTACGACGCCGTTAGAGGACTAACTTTCGATATAGCATGCCCGATACAAATGGCACCGATCCAACTGGCACGTACGATCGTTAATCGACCTGACAGAATTTTTATCAACGCGAATTCAGTCGGTCTCGCGAAGAGAGCTCCTGTCTCTCGGCCCATTCGTCTCCTTCTCGGAGAGAATCTCGACCCTTCGCCGAGACGTTCGTCTCAACAGGGAGATATTTCTTATCTGACTGAGACAGGCCGCAATATCTAAATAGCGGATTTCCTATACTTGTTTCATTGATCCGCACCTGATTTCCTTTCGTAGGGGGAAACGACGAATTGGCGAGCTATAAGCTACCGAAGGTTGAAAGGTTTCCTCAGGTGCAACTGTAGACTAATAAAATTTTGCCGCAATGTTAAACATCGTTATTATTTTTAACTAATTTCGTTAATAATTTTGTTTTTATATAATTAAATCCTCACATAAAGAAAGCGCGTTTGGTACTAGTATCGCCAATTTCTGAAAGCTGATTAGTAGATATAGTATTGCATTTATGTAATATTAGCATTATTTCTAGGAATCTTAATATATTACACTTACACTGTAAGAGAAAAATATCTCAAGAATAAAAAAATGTCTATTCAGGGTAGGTACTAATAACATATTTACTTAAATCTAAACTCCCTTATTTAAATAGAAGCTTTCATGAAAAGCTAAAATTAAAAAAAAATATATATCTTCTCATTTGGAAAATATTTTATATTAATATAAGTAAATATATCGTCAACATCCACCAAATAAATATGTTTTATTTCATAGATCATTCAAGGATCCTTGAAATCCTTGAAATTTCATATGTGGATAGAAATAGAGTAATTTTTTAGGCTTATGCGAATCTCGTCGAGGTCTGACACGCGACATTTACGGGAGTAACCTTTTCGCCATGTCGTCGACGGGAAAATTGGGAATGGGCAATTGTACGGAGCTGAAGCCGTTGGGACGGTCGCAAGAGGAACGAGAGAATGCCGAAACGGATTATGCAAGATTTTTATATCATCGAGGAGGCGCCCGCCCTCGCTCAATAGTCACGAGAGAGGACACCTATCCCCGTCCCCCCGTGTCAACTTGAGGAGCTTCAGTATGACACATCGAGCCACACATTTCGCACGTAATCCGCTTTCGCGACGTGCGAATAAATAAGCGTAACGGATAGTTTTCGATGCGTCCAAAGTCGTTAGCCAAGTGGTTGACTCGCTTACTACGACGAATCGTGAATTAACACGATTCATTTAGACAACTCATGTCTCTACAGACCATCTAGTATTTCTCATAAGTGTAGAACTAAAAATAAAATTGATGAAAAGTGTATGAAAATTATGTAAAATAGAGTTGGTTTGTTCATATCTGTCACACATGTCTGACGCTCATTTATACCGAAGTTGCTTAAACCTTAACCCGAATTTGAATTCTACAATGAGAAAAAAATGTTTGGTATTTGTAACTATAGTCATATACGCGCAAAAAAGTTTCAGTTGGTGCAACTAAATAGGAACCAACTGAAAATTAGGTGATCAGAAGTGATATCTCTGTTATGAAAACTAATATTTCTATTGTTGCAACCGAAGATATTCGTCTGAACATTCAATGATATTAGAACTCGGTTGAAGCAACTGAGAACAACTGACTATACAGAAGTCTTATAAAGCAATTTTTCTGTTCCTACAGCCGAGCTTTCGTCTGATTCCTGAGCAACCGAAAATTCGATTGCACCAACAGAATTGTTTTTTCCGTGTAGAAAAATAATTACTATAAATTATGGTCAAAACAACTATTTTTTAGTCAGTACTATAATTTTAGCGATAATAATCTTATATGCATGTTACTACTATCTTCGTGTTGGTGTCAAATTGGCCTCAACTATATTTTTTGGTTGTTCCAACACGAAGATAGTAGTAGTAACATGCATATAAGGTTATTATCACTAAAATTATAATACAATTGACTAAAAAATGGTTGTCTTGACCATAATTTATAATAATTATTTCTCTATATGATTATAGTTGTAAATACCAAACAGTTTTCTCTCAGTGTACTTGTATGAAGACTTAAACCCAAGTTAGAGTTTCATCAACGTTGGTAGAAACAGGCATAAAAAATGATAGTAGCTTGCATGTGCGAAATCGGATGTTTTTCCATTTCTCCTAAGAACCATTTTGAAAATTCACTGTTTCCCGAAAGATCGAATTTTTTCCGCATTATTCTTAAAGTTTCAAGCGAAAGTGAAACGTTTTTAAGGCTCCTGGGGAGTCGCATCATCCATCTCTTTTTAATGACGTCAGAAGCGAGAAAACGCATGCTAAAAATTCCTGCAAAATACGTCGAGATAAACAGATATATCCACAAAACGACATTTGCGATCGATTAAGTACACCTCTAAAATACTCCGTACACTTTCCTTTTGTTCTAACAATCAACAGATAATTATAAAATAAATGTGACGTGCAATCGTCTTTTCTAACCTAATTTCCTCATTATCTTGTCATATTAATTTTCCGATTATCTATTGATTTTTAGAACAAAAGGAAAGTGTACGGAGTATTTTAGAGGTGTACTTAATCGATCG